AAGCCATGAGTCAACTTTACGGACAGAACATAAGTATTCTGCAAAGCAGTTACCCATTTTGTGTTTTGTCTCCCCAGTACGGAGGAGACCACACTGAGAACAGCAAATACAGTCGATTGGAAGTATGAGGTACAGATAAATTGCTGCTTCACCTGGAACCTTGTCTGATTTCATTTTCCAAACTAGCGCTGTAGAGGGCCAAGCTTTAATTGCCTTTTTCCTGTTTGCTTACTTTTGTGAATTCTTACTGTCTGTTTTTGTATTACTAGCTAGCGCTCTTTTGTACTCTGCTCTCTCTCTCTGTCTGTTAGCTTTTTAGCTTATTCTTAAACAATGGGTTAGGGTAGTACCAGGAGTCAGCTTTCTTTTTGTCTTGGAGTAATGGGAAGACTGGGATTGGGAGCGCTACAGAGAAAATAGAATAAAGAGGGAGTCTTTTTAGTGAAAATAAAATACATTGTTTCTTTCGTAGCATTTAGGCTTCTTTATTTTACATCTGACAGCACCATCAAAAGACAGGGAACTGCTCCCATCGCTTGAGAATAATGTCAGTTTCCTGTTTGCTCTGCACCACATAGATATAGTGTTCATGGGAAACTCAGCTGAACACAATAAATTTGAATTGTATTTCAAAATTCTACATCAGCATCGCTCACCTTTTAATAAATAAGAGACTTATATGATTCAAAGGTATAGTCTTGACAGTAAATTTGCCATCGCTTGTCTATGCAACTTCTTATGAATCTAAATTCTTGTAAGAATTTATCCATGTATTCAGTTATATGCAGTGAAATAAAATATTTATTCATCGAGTGAAAAATTCTTCCCCTCATCGCAGTCACTTAAGTATAGTGGACGTCTCCTCCCACAATTAAGATATCGTCTAACATTGTGTGGTCTCATCTAACTCATGTTCTTCATCTGATATATCACTGTGAGTATTAGGTTCAATGCCTCTGACTGGAGTTTTCAGTGCTTTGAAGAATGACATGTTCCACATGATGATTGGTGAACCAGACTTAACAGTGATCAGCAATCCCTTTATATTGGTCCTAACAAAACGGTTGAATGTCATAAAGAGGAGTTTGCTCTCCAACATGACCATTACATTTCACAAACGCTATCTCCTGGCTTTCTTAGCTCTGATTGTCATTTTTCATTTTACATTTACTTGCGTTTGATCCTTCTAATCCCAATCACATTTGCCTATATGTTGATCATTAGATCTGCGGGTAGCTTAGGAAGGTGTGTGCACATCAGATGTATGAATATGAATTTAGCTAGAGGCTTCTACCGAGGAGTTGCTATATAAGTGCGAAGAAAATACAGCCCCTGCTTCTCTAACTTGCTTCAGCTATAGTGTATATTTCACTTTTTTCCCTCTTAAACCCTTTCTGTTCCTATACCCATTCAGATGCCTTTTAAATCTGTATTGATAACGTGGTCAAATGGGTTTCATATGAGCTGGCAAATCATTCCAACATATGCCAATGGTTATTGTTAAGATCAGGAGCATGGCCAGCTATGTGATGAAAATGAATTGGAGGCTCTACCATCACTATCCAGAGATCCAGGCTTCAATATGCATGTGAAAGTGTAAGCATATAAAAGCAACCCAGATTCTCTTTGGGACAGTTAGCTGCATTGGCTTTCCACAGACTCACTACCAGACATTCCAAAGATTCACTACCCTCTGAGTGAAGACATTCCTCATAGAATTATCATAGAATTTCTACGGTGTGGAAGCAGGCCATTTGGCCCATCAAGTCCACACTACCCCTCAGAAGACAATCCCACCCAGACCCAACCCCCGGCCCCCCTCACCCTATCCCTGTAATCCTGCATTTCCCATGGTTAATCCGTCTATCCTGTACATCCCTGGACATGATGGGCAATTTACTGTGGCCAGTCCACTTTACTTGCGCACCTTTTGGACTGTGGGAGGAAATCAGAGCACTTGGAGGAAACGCATGCAGACACAGGGAAAATGTGCAAACTCCACACAGAGAGTTGCCCAAGGCTGGAAACAAACCCAGGCTCCTAGCACTGTGAGGCAGCAGTGCTAGCCACTGAGCCACTGTGCTGCCCTCGGTATTAAGCTGATCTGCTCCCTATTCTGAGATTGTATCCCTGGGTTTACTATCTGAGAATGATCAGTTTATTCCTACTGTCTGCTGTCTGTTAACCAATTTTTGATCTATCGTAGCATGTTCTCTCAATCCATGTGCTGTAATTTTATTTACTATTCTTATTCACTAAGTGGGAACTTATCAACAGCCTTTTGAAAATTGAAATAAAGCATATCCACTTGTTTTCCTTTATGTGTCCAACAAGTAACAGCCTCAAGACTCCTAAGTTTGTCAAACATCATTTCCATTTCATAATCGACCTTGATAGAGCCTAATATTGCCATTTATTTCTAAATGTCAGTTGTCACATTCTTTATAATGAATTCTAACATTTTCCCTAATATGGATTCCATTCCAAGCCAACAAGTCTGCTATTCTCCATTTTTCTTCTTCCTTGTTTCTTAAGTTGTGAGGATAGCAAGAACTTTCCAGAATCTGTAGAATCATGAAGGATAATCACCAATGCATCCACTCTAACTATTGTTACTTAATTCAACAGTGAGGTTAAGCTCATCTGGTCCAGGAGATTTATCAACCCTCATGCACCTAGTCTTTCAAGTACTACCACTTTACTGATACTAATTTATTTTAGCCTTTCAGTTTACACAAGCTTCTTGATGACCCAATATTTCTGGGACATGTTCTGGACCTTATTCCAGAAAGACAAGTGCAAAGTAACTGTTTAATTTCTCTGCCATTTCCCTTGCTTTCCACTGCAGTTTATCTTGTCCCACCTATAATGTACCCAAATTTATCTTTGCTTTTTCATTTCCCAAACAATCCAAGTTTTTATAATCCACCTTATTGTTTCTCGCTAGCTTGCATTGGTATTTTGTTTTCTGTTTCCTCATCATTTTCTTAGCCCTGTTTTGTTGAGTCCTACATTGCTCCCAATCCTTAGACTTACCACTCTTTCTGGCATTCTTATAAGCTACTTCTTCTGATGTAGTGCAATCTTTAACTTCTTTCATCGACCATGGTTAAGTTACCTTTCCCTTTCAGTGTTTGTGCCTTATAAAAATGTTTATCTGTTGTAATTTACTTATACTATTTCCTTTAAATACTGGCCATTGCCTGTTTATCATTAAATCTTTTTGTGGATTTTCCCAATGCACCATAGTTAAATTGCCCTTTTGTCTCCTTTGCTCAGATTTAAGACTGTAGTTTCAGAATGAACCACATTGCATTCCAACTTTGTAAAATTCTATCATCATATGGTTACCATTTCTCAAAAGTCTCATTTACAGCAGTTATTAATTAACCCTTTACAGTTACACGGCCTCATTCAAGGTAGCCTAATTCCTAGTTGGCTCCTCAATTTAATATTATAGAAAGCCAACTCATACACAGTCCAGGAATTCATCCTGCACAGCATTGGTGCTGGCTTGGTTAACCCAGTCAACATGCAAGTTGCCCATAATTACTGTATTACCCGTATTTATCTTGATAGCATGGAAACAATACTTTTCATTGTATCTTGATACTTGAATCAATACGAAATCAAATTAAAAACATCCAACTTTAATCTCATGATTTATAGCAAGCCCAACATTTGTAGTACAATTTGGTGTCCTGTTTTGGTGTTATGACCAATGTTTGGTTTCCCTTTACTGTTTCAGAGATCCACTCAAACTAATACTGCATTTTGAACTGTTAATTGAAAATCTTGTCTTTCTGATATAATGTCATCACATTATTAGGAATACTACCCCACTACTCTTGTCTATCCCTCCTAAGTGTAGAATAACTTTTTGGATATTTAGTTCCCAATATCGTCCACCCTGTACCCATTACTTTGTATTTAAACCATATCTATTTACCTCAATATGTGCATTTAAATCGTCAGTATTCTTCTTGGATATCAACTGGCTCTGAACTGCCAATAATAAGTGTAATCCCTTCTATGATAAGATTGAAACTTGTATGCATTACTTCCAGTGTGGTCTCACCAATAATAGCAACAACAGCAAACACAGGAACAAAAGCAAAGTTGCTGGAAAGGCTCAGCAGGTCTGGCAGCATCTGTGAAGGAAAAAACAGAGTTAGTCTCACCAGTGTCCTATATTGTTGTAGCAAGACTGCCTTGCTTTTATGTTTTACAACTCCCTTGCAATAAAGGCCAATATTCAATTTGCTTTCATCATTATTTGCTGTTTCTGCTTACTAACTTGTTGTGATTCATGCATGAAGTCAGCATGATTCCCCTGTCCTACAGCATTGTAATGTCTTTTTCCATTTAATTAATACTGTACTTTAGTATTCTTCCTGCCAAAGTGGGCAACCTCACATTTCCCACGTCGTATTCCAACTGTCAAATTTTACTTCATTCATTTAACTTGACCACATCCCTTTTGAAGGCATTTTATCTCTTCCTCAGAACTTGCTTTCCTACATATCTTTGTATTATCAAGAAATTTGTCTGCAATATACCCAGTATTTCCAGCCAGGCTATTAACATGTAGCAGATCTCCCCAACCCCAGTCCAGTACCCTTAAGGACCAGCACATATCTGGATTATAGAGTGGCTAGCTACAATTGAAATTCTGATTTAAATAATCAACTTGCCTTTGTCAGCTATTTTGTATTTCTCTCTCCTTCTTGTAGTCTTTGAACTGAAACACTCAAAGCTGTCACTCTGATTTTCAGAAGTATTGTTACAGTATTATACCTTTCCTTCTAGAAGCTCTAATTTAACCATTGGAAATCTAATAGAATATAGTACAAGAACAAACAAACTTTTATGTTAGGACATTCTAAATTACATCTCAGCCAGCAAAGTACTTTTGTGTGTACTCACCTGTAAAAATGCTATGATAGTGACATGCATTTGCAGTAGTCATGTGGTATTGAGTGTTGATTTACTTCAAATAGATGATGGTGGAGCAACGCCGGTACAGGATGAACATAATTCAGACTCAGATGATCAGGAGGACTCAACTGAGCACCGTGCTGCATCTGAAGCCAGCAGTGTGGATCATCAATCTGAGGTAAATGAGTCATATGTCCATCCTGGTCATTCTTCCATAGTATTGGCCCCATAGTCAGCCACTCAGGGCCAATAGCTGCAGACTTGAATGTATCTGGAGCATACAGTTTTACCATACCGGTAGTTCTGCTATAACTCATGTTTTGTTAACGCAAATTGACTGTAACACAATTAATGAGGAGTGGATGCTGTTTGGATAATGCAAACTTTCTGCTGTACAGGTATAGCGATTTCTCTAACGTGATTTTCTACAGCGCAAAGTCACGCAATAACGCAACTATCACTATATAGGAGAACTACCTGCGTCATGAAATATGACTGGACTGCATCGTGCACTTTTTTTGTGTCCGTGTTATTTAAACGTAATGAACTACCACTCTTGGATTCTACAGGAGAGCAATAATAGCCTCAGCTTCATTTCCCTGCATTCATCTTTTAATAACAAATACATGGTGTTCGTGAATTGTTTTCTACACACTATTCAATTCTGAGCTGAGCTCCCAACCGAAATCTCCTTCATCACAAGGGTCACCTATTACCACCTCCATAACCTTACTCACTTCCACCCTTGCCTGAATCTGTGTGCTACTCCATCCTCTGCAAACTGCAGGAGTTTAAAAAAAATGCTGCCTCTATCCGATCCCAGACCAAGTTTTGGTGTCACTTCTGCTTGCTGACCTACTTTTGTTTTTGGCCCACTGTACTGCCAGTTTAAAATTCTCATCCAAAGTTTTAAATCATCATAGTCACCTTCCTGTCTGTCCATGACAACTTTTTGTTTGCTGATTCTGGACTGTTGTATATCCTTGTCCTGCCCAGTTACAACCTGCAACTGGCACTTTTGCCGTCAGCTGCCCAGGCCCCGTGCTCAGGAATTTTCTCCCTAAGCTCTTCTAACTCACATTCCTCCCATACTAAACGTTTGTTCAACCTTCCCAATACCACCATTCTTGGATCTCTATCTGATTTTTGCAAAAATCAACGCGTTTGATGTATTTGAGATATTTTGTTGTTTAAAAGGCACCATTTTTGGTGCAAGTTGCTGTTCATCTAGAACCTGGAATGCTTCTTCTTTGTTCTTAAAACTGCAATTTTTAACTTCAGTTAGTATCAACTCCTGCAACTTAAGAGGTTGGAATGGCCAACCATGTGTGCCAGTGTGGAAACGATCACTAATATTGGAAGATGAAGATCTCTCAATGATATTCTGGACAAGGCACCATCTGATGTGATATTGAGGCATAAAGATATTCATCCTTGAGCTCTTTTTCATCTCACTGCAGCAATCTCTGCAACCTACCCAATATTTTGCCATTTCCACTTGTAACTCCTAGTTTTTATTATGTTTTTTAACCCAGCCTTGTATCACATTGTCAATGATGGAATTTTAATCACTTCAGCCCAAATATCGGTAATTTCATCCCTAAATGCTTCTACTTCTTCACTGCTCTTCTTGTTCAAATGCTTTCAATAGGTTTTCAATCTGTTCTTCATAATTCACCCTTTCTGACTTTAGTTTCTCTTTTCTCTTACTTGATATAACTCCACTGTTGAAAGAAATTCATAAAAAAAATTTCAAAGCTCTGTCTGAAACATTTTGTATTGCTTCTGTTTCAGGATGAAAGCCTTAAAGAAGATCAGAGTGACACAGAAGACATTGACCGCCCCAGCCGGCCCCAAAGCAGGGAGGACAACCACATTAGTAGTGATTCCGAGAGTGAAGAACCGAAGAAAGCTCACAGCATTGAGCAATCAGATGATGAAGCAGGCAGTGATAAGGAGAATGAAGACAGCGGCGGAGAGTTAGAAGGGAGCCACGAAAGAATGAATGATACAGACAGTGAAAAGGATGTGAGAGTATCACCAGAACATAATGAGAGCCGAGGAGTCAGTGATGACGACGGCCCTGCACCTCACAGGGCATCCAACAGCGATAATGAGCAGGACGAGGAAGAGAGGGAGGAGACTGGTATGTACTGATTAGAGGAAATATGCCTGCATTCAACAGTTCTTAGAAATAAAGAAGATTAGAAAAAAACCTTAGCATCCCATGTGTTCTGCTCCAGTTGTCAAATAAATATCATTTTCCAATGTTACTTGCATGCCTTCTCTAGCAAGGTTTCCTCTGAGCACTAATCCAGCTCTCCTGACCACAGTCATATGTCTATCCTATACCCTCACCAATTAAAAAGGTAAAATTCTGTGCACGTTGGAAATCTGAAATGAAAACAGAAAAGGCTGAATGACTCCGTAGATCAGGCAGCATCCGTGGTGAGGAAATCAGAGTTAACTTCTCAGGTTGATGACATTTGATTGGCCTTGTTCAATAGTAAATATTTAAGAGAGCTGTTCACCTCCCTCGTCAATGATCCACTGTTCACTGTATTAGTGCAATTATGAGTGTAACAATCAGTGTGACACTTCCTGACGCTATAATCCATAGTTACTGAAAATGTCTTGACAGGGACTTTACATCAGAACAGAAATTGCTGGAAAAACTCAACAGTTCTGAAGAAAGGTCACTGGACCCAAAACGTTAATTCTGCTTTCTCTCCACAGATGCTATAGACCTGCGTTTTTCCAACAATTTCTGTTCTTGTTTCTGATTTCCAGCATCTGCAGTTCTTTGACTTCTTAGTTTACATCAGAAATTGTTTTATTTTAAACCGGTCTGATTTGCCACGTTCAGATTAAAACTTACACCTCAACTGAGTTAACTGTGGCCAGATTTTAAAAGCATTTAAGATTTAAATGACTCAATTTTCAGCATCAAGGAACTATTTGTGAGTAGTTGATGAGCCCACTCTGGTTTTGTATCAGCGATGAATGCTGAGGAAGTAAATATTTAAGATTAGAATGGGACAGAGACAGGGCTCTTAGTAAACATTCAACAAGGTTAAAACTGGTGATAAAATCAAAAGATCTGCAGGTATCACAGACATTTTCTGCCCTCCAGAACTTCGATGAGTTAGGTCCGACATGAACTTAAATGCATGTTGACAAGCCTTTCTTGCAGGATATAATCCTGTTATTGCCTGATTTATAATTTCCAGCAAAGATCACAGAATGGCGATAAGGACTGAGAAACCTTGCTGAACTTTTTTCTTCTCCTCTCAGGATGATTGCAATGGCCAGCTACCTCCCCAGTTAAGATTCACTAACCAAGTACAAAACACCAGTGAAAACTTGATGGGTCTGGGCAGTTGCCGGCCAAGTTATGCCTCTAACTGCACAGGCGTCATTGAAGCTTCAGCTAGAAGAATTGATATGACAATAAGGAAAGAGTATTGGGAGAGGGTCTGTGTGATTGCCTCTTCCAGAGAATCTTCATAGACATGATGGACTGATGGATGGTCTCCTTATATGCTGTCAAAGTTCATGATTGACATTTAACATACTTCTGTGAAGTTCTTAACGCATAGGTGCTTTATTTCAGTGAAGAGGAAGAAACCGGTTCTATCTGAAAGTGACGATGAGAAAGAAGAACTGAATAAATGTGAGTAGTCAACAGTGAATCAAATTGGCTTCAATGAGTTTGTGTGATGCAAGCTTTGCAATGCAGGAAACATTGGCTGGCTCCCATTGTCACAAAAATATTTGCCTCTCAAATGGAGGTGTCTGCTTATGAGTGTGTTTTGTGTTGGATTTAGCCAAGCCCTTGTTTCAATCTGTGTTCATTGCCCTGTTCAGATATGCCAGTTTTTGAGAGAAGTCATTATCCCTGAAGGTGATACTTATTGGCATCCACCTTCATTTGTTTTCAGATTGTATCAGAAGGTGCAATTTGGAACCATCTCTCAATGACTGATCACTATATCTGAGGGTGAATAAACTGCCCTTTCATTCTTGAAATGATGTATTTTTAGAATAGTGGTGGGGAAGGTTATGTGGTTGTGTTATTTCCATATCCTGCAACAAATCAATCGGATTCAACACACAGGCTAAAGATGTTCCTTTTCTTTGACGCAGCTGCTAAGAAAAGTCGTCTGATGTCAGACAGTGAGGACTCGGACAGTGATGTTTCCCCCACTAAGAAAAAGCGTAGTGTTTCTGGTGGGGAGGAATCGGATAGCGATGCCAGTGATTTAAAGAGAAAACGAGCAGCCTCGGGTGGCGAGGATTCAGATAATGAACCTGACATTGTTACAGCAAAGCGCATTGTTTCAGACGATGATTCAGACGATGATGCTGATGTGTCGAGAACCAAGCGTATAGTCTCTGATGTTGATGATTCAGACAGCGACTCCAATGCCCATGCAAAAAAGCAGATTGTTTCTGACGCTGAGGATTCTGATAATAACACAGCTATTAGGAAAAAGCAAGCCTTTTCCAATAATGATGATTCAGAGAGTGACACCACACCTAAGAAAAAGCGCGTTGTATCAGAGGATGATGACTCCAACTCAGACAGTGATGCCCCTGCTAAGAAAAAACATATTCTTTCTGCTGGCGAAGATTCCGACAGTGATGCTGAACCAGAAAAACGAGAGTCTAATGGTGTTTTAACTGACAGTGATGAAGATGAGGAGAATAAGGAACCCTCTCAAAAAGCTGAATCTGGTCTGTTTGGCAGTGACAGCGACTCTGAGGATGAGTAAGTGAGAAATACTTTTGAAGACAATGATCTGAGTGTTGTATATTCAAGGCTGCATTTCCCTGATAATTCACCCCAGTTAGTTCATAATCTCATTAAAACCAAGTGGACAAATTAAAGTTTTGTAATATGTTCAGTTAAACTGTGAAGAATGCCCAGCAATGCAATTCTGTCTTCGATCCTCCAAAGCATAGACTCTATAATACTAAACTGAAGTAGTGATAAGCATCATCAGGTTACAGATCAATCCCTGTTCTGCCACCAGGGTATGGTAATAGGGCTGTATCACTTTATAATCTGGACTGATTTCCTGTTATAGATCTGGAACTGGGGATCTGAGAAATTTAGTAAAGTAGAAAGTTTGCAATACAAAAGGAGAACATTTGGTCCATCATGTCTGTGCTAGTCAAACCAAATAATGTCCAACTGGTCCCACTCTCAAACTGTAGCCTTACAGCACATGAATGCAATATTTTTTAACTGTGACCAGTAATCCTATTACTGCCACCATTTCAGACTGTTCTCCACACCCTTAACTTTTCAGGTGAAAAGATTTCTTCTCAATTTCTCTTTAATCCTAATGCCAGATAATTGAAATCTACGGCTTTTTTTGCAAAAGGATATAGGTTCTTCCTGTCCACTCAGTTAAGGTTACTCATCATTTTGTATATCCCAATTACATTTCCCCTCAGCCTCTTCTATTCCAAACAGGCCGAGCCAATTCAATTTTTCTTCAAAGCTGGAATTGCCCCTAGTTAACAACATCTTTGCAGACTACCTTGGCACAAATATATGCTTTCTAAAATATAGTCACCAGAGCTACATGGAGCACCAGTCTTCGCAATACCCACCACCATGTTCTCCCGCTCCCACCCTGGTACTTCCTTTCTCACCTACCAAAAGAAATGACCAATATGACCTGTTAACCACCTTCTCTATCTTGCTATTGTCAAGGATCTATGGGTATGCACTCAAAAATTTCTCTGTTCTTCTAAAAATAGTATCCCACTATTTATGATGTGTTAATTTTATTCTGTTAGAACCAAACAGCAAGGAAGTGAATCACATTGAGTGTTCAATCCACTGACCTCTTAAACAGTTGCATGAACTGAAACCCTTTGCTTTGGGCAAGCAGTGCAGGTTGTTTGTAGTTCCATCTTTGATTAAATACCAAATGGCCATTACAAACGTCTAGGTGTCCATTATTCCATATTTAAACCATCTTAACGATTACATAGATTCACTCCTGATTAATTTTGCAAGTTTATTCTTTCACTGTTCATTTTCGACGACAAGCTCTCGTCCAAACAGGAGAGCTGGCCAAGTATCACTAGATGAGAAAGTTATCTCACTATAAGGTTAATTAGAGTTATGGGCATTTGATGTTTTTTTTGCAAGTGTACTAGACATAGGAGATTTGCTTCCATTCACTGTGTTAGACATGAGAGGCCTAAATTGCTTTGCTTATAAAAGTCCCTCACAAATAAAGCCTAAAGGTGTAGTCTTTTGCCTTGAACTATTGGAGTTGAAAGCAAAATTTTGATTTCTATCATGTATGAATCACTGATAATTCAACATTTCTTTTGCAATTATTTCATACTTGTATTCACTCACACTGGCTCTGTGCTGCATATTAAGTCCTATTTGGCTTGATGTTGGACGCCACATTTATTGCTTGCTGTATTCCAATAATGTTTTCCAAACTCCTGCTTTGAAGGATATGTTGTACCTTTACTATCATTAGCAAATTTTTAATTCCCACTTTTAGATATTCCTCTGGTTTTTATTGCTTCACTTCTTATCTATTTTTGATCACAGTTCTTGGCTTTCATTCACTGTATTTTAGCTTTCTTTAGTCAATACCTGTACATTGCTGAACTTCAAGTCATTAGTTGCTCTGTTTCTCGTTGTTGACTGTTCATTTGTTAATGGCAGTTGAACTATGGTGAAAGACTCAAGGTGAATATTTCCACAGTAACCAATAGTACACAATTAAACTCTGTTCTGTATTTGTTCGGAGGAAGTGTACTTATATCTGATCTGTTCAGTTTTCACATAGCATGGCAAACGTTCAGCTGGTCTCTTCAGAATTATGTTTTTATTCAGCCTTTTTTAAAGTTATAACAGTTTATGTCTAGTTATTAGGTAAATTTGGTGGCGTAATAAAATGCTGCTTTTAAAAATATTACATGCCCCATTTGGGAGACTGGCCAAGTATCACTAGATGAGAAAGTTATCTCACTATGAGGTTAATTAGAGTTATGGCCATTTGATGTATTTTTTATGACAATTGCTTCCATTCAATGTGATTAGCCGTGAGAGGGCTAAATTGCTTTGATTATAGAAGAAAGGTCCCTCACAAATGAAGCCTAAAGGTGTAGTCTTTTGCCATGAACTATTGGAGTTGAAAGCAAAATTTTGATTTTTATCATGTATGAATCATTATCTAAAAGAAAAGGAAAATTAGAAGGTGTGAGAATGCTCAGAGAGCAGGATCTGTCTAGGTGGCCCATGCAGAGAAACACTGGTGCTGATTTTTGAGCCAAATAGGTTGTTTCTATATGATAAATGTCTGTGATTCTGTAATTTATGGGCAGGAAACCTTGAGCAGCAAATATACTGGAGTTCTTTCTGAAAATGATAAAACTTGTTGCCAAGACAGGTTTTCAAACCATTTGATACCATAATGTGATTAGATAGTTCGAAGGCATTGAAGAGGAGGCAAGTGATAGGATGGGTTGAAAATTAACTAAACCAGACAAAGCTAAGGGTGATTGTGAATTCAGTTATACTGAGAAGCTGACCCATGGGGTGTCACATGGGCCAATGATACAGCCATTACTCCTTACAGTGCAAATGACTTGGACCTGGATGGTATGAACTTAGAGAAGTGGCCTAAAAAATGAGGAACAGTTGAAACAAACACAAGAAATGCGGACAGATGGGCTGAAGTCAAAAAGAGCAGGGGAATAAATTATGGGGATGTAAACCAGACGGTCTAAACATTTAGCTAAAGTCATTTCAAGTCGGAACCCTTTATTAGAACAAACATTGGGTGCCTGGATCTTTTTACAATTCGTTAAACTGAATGACTCGCAGCCAGGGGACATAACACAGGATGGGAATCTGTGACATTGATGAATAGCTCACTAACCAATAGCGCATGGCTACATTATGAATCCCGAAACAGAACTTGAAATATATAACCAGAAGGCTACAGCATAATGAGAGATAATGGGGTGGACTTAGAAATTGCTACCCAGGTATCAGACTGTCATTATAGGTTGACTGCCCATTAAAGGAACAGCCCAGTTCCCTAATCCAATGAACTTAATAATTGATCAAAGTTTCCAGTTTTACACAATTGCAAGAAATTCGCCCTGGCAACTCTGTCTAAATCACTGATACAGCCTCATCCTGAATACACTGCGCAAATCTGGTTACTGAGCTCAAGGCATGAAAGTTGTAGGGAGAGAATGAAAAACATGGATTTTTTTGGTGAAAAGCCAGAAATTGGATATTATTTTGGAGTACTTAACATCCCTGGGAGAATATGAACCTGAATTTGTTTCAGAAGTTCGATAACCAAGGAATGTGGACTCTAGAGGAGAGAAGATATAAACATTGAAATATATAAAAAAGGAGCCAGAGTAGGCCATTTGGCCCTTCGAGTCTGCTCCACCATTCAGCATGATCAGCCACCTCAGTACCCTGTTCCTGCTTTCTACCCATACCTTTTGATCCTTTTAGTTATAAAATCTATATATAACTCCTTCTCAAAAACATTCAATGTTTTTGCTTCAACTGCATTCTGTGGCAGAGAATTCCACAGGCTAACCACACTCTGGTGAAGAAATTTCTCCTCCGCTCGATCCTAAATGGCCTACTCCATGTCCTTGAACTGTGAACCCTTGTTCTGGATTCCCCTGTCGTTGGGAACATGCTTCCTGCATTTACCCTGTCTAGTCCTGTTAGAATTGTATAGGTTTCTGTGAGATCCACTGTCATTCTCTAAACTCCAATGAATATAGTCCTGACCAATCCAGTCTCGTTTTGTACATAAGTCTTGCAGTCCCAGTAGTCTGTCTGGTAAACCAATGCTGCAGTCTCTTCTGAGCCAGAACATCCTTAGATAAGGAGACCAAAACGACGTGCAATACGTCCAAATGTGGTCTCCCCAAGGCCCCTGTACATTTGAAGCAAGATATCTTTGCTACGGTACTCAAATCCTGTCATGTTGAGGGCTTCCTTTCAGTGACTGGTGTACAAGGACACACCGGTTTTATTATACCTCCCCTTTTTCCAATCTATTACTACTCAGGAAGTCTGCCTTCCTGTTTTTGCTGTGAAAGTGGATAGCTTCACACAGCCTCAGGTGACCTCCCACCCATGGCCTCCAACCTCATCGTTCCCCAACCTCGCACTGCCCGCTTCTATCTCCTTCCCAAAATCCACAAACCTGAATGCCCTGGTTGACCCATTGTCTCCACCTGCTCCTGCCCCACTGAACTGATCTCCAACTATCTAGACTCCATTTACTCCCCCTTGGTCCAGGAACTCCCTACCTATTGTCCGTGACACCACCCACGCCCTCCACCTCCTCCAGAACTTCCAATTCCCCGGTCCCCAACACCTCATCTTTACCATGGACGTCCAGTCCCTCTACACCTGCATTCCCCATGCAGGTGGCGTTAAGGCCCTCCGCTTCTTCCTGTCCCGCAGGCCCGACCAGTCACCCTCCACTGATACCCTCATCCGCTTAGCCGAACTCGTCCTCACACTCAACAACTTCTCTTTCAATTCCTCCCACTTCCTACAGACAAGGGGGGTAGCCATGGGTACCCGCATGGGCCCAAGCTACGCCTGCATCTTTGTAGGTTATGTGGAACAATCCCTCTTCCGTACCTACACCGGCCCTAAACCCCACCTCTTCCTCCGTTACACTGATGACTGTATCGGCGCCGCCTCGTGCTCCCACGAGGAGCTCAAACAGTTCATCCACTTCACTAACACCTTCCACCCCAACCTTAAGTTTACCTGGACCATCTCTAACACCTCTCTCCCCTTCCTGGACCTCTCTGTCTCCATATCGGGCAACCACCTAGAAACCGATATTCATTTCAAGCCCACCGACTCCCACAGCTACCTAGAATACTCCTCCTCCCACCACCTTCCTGCAAAAATGCTATCCCCTATTCCCAATTCCTTCGCCTCCACCGCATCTGCTCCCAGGATGAGGCATTCCACTCCCGCACATCTCAGTTGTCCTCGTTTTTCAAGGACCGTAACTTCCCCGCCTCGGTGGTCGAGAACGCCCTCAACCGTGTCTCCCACATCTCCCGCACCTCATCCCTCACACCCTGTCCACGCAATAAGAACCAAAAAAGAATCCCCCTCGTCCTCACGTACCACCCCACCAACCTCCGGATCCAACGCATCATCCTCCGACACTTCCGCCATCTGCAATCTGACCCCACCACCAAAAACATCTTTCCCTCCCCACCCTTATCTGCTTTCCGGAGGGACAACTCTCTCCGTGACTCCCTTGTCCGCTCCACACTCCCCTCCAGCTCCACCACACCCGGCACTTTTCCCTGCAACCGCAGGAAGTGCTACACCTGCCCCCGTACCTCCTCCCTCACCCCCATCCCAGGCCCCAGGAAGACTTTCCACATCAAGCAGATGTTCACCTGCACATCTGCCAATGTGGTATATTGCATCCGCTGTACCCGGAGTGGCTTCCTCTACATCGGGAAAACCAAGCGGAGGCTTGGGGACCGCTTTGCAGAACACCTACACTCGGTTCGCACTAAACAACTGCACCTCCCAGTCGCGAACCATTTCAACTCCCCCTCCCATTCCTCAGACGACATGTCCATCCTGGGCCTCCTGCAGTGCCACAACGATGCCACCCGAAGGTTGCAGGAACAGCAACTCATATTCCGCTTGCGAACCCTGCAGCCCAATGGTATCAATGTGGATTTCACAAGTTTCAAAATCTCCCCTCCCCCTACCGCATTCCAAAACCAGTCCAGCTCGTCCCTGCCTCCCTAACCTGTTCTTCCTTCCACCTATCCCCTCCTCCCACCTCAAGCCGCACCTCCATCTCCTACCGACCAACCTCATCCCGCCCCCTTGACCTGTCCGTCCTCCCTGGACTGACCTATCCCCTTCCTAACTCCCTACCTACACTCACCTTTACTGGCTCCATCCCCGCCTCTTCGACCTGTTTGTTTCCTCTCCACCTATCCTCTCCTCTATCCCTCTTCTATCCGCCTCCCACTCTCTCCCTATTTATTTCAGAACCCCCTTCCCCTCCCCCTTTTCTGATGAAGGGTCTAGGCCCGAAACGTCAGCCTTTCTGCTCCTATGATGCTGCTTGGCCTGCTGTGTTCATCCAGCCCTGCACCTTGTTGTCTCGGATTCTCCAGCATCTGCAGTTCCTACTATCTCAGCTTCAATTAAACTTTGTCTTATAGATAAACTGGATTTAAGTGTTGGGTGTTTGGCTGATAACCAGGAGGCAGGTGGTAAAACCATCACAAGTAGCAACAAAAGTCTCGTTTGTTTATTCAGCCAACAGTTGGAGCTCAAGGGACAACACTCCTCTTCCTCTCGTCTTCACAATACTATAGGTTTTAAAAAATCTCACACTTCTGATGGCAACCTCCAGTGACACAGCCTGAGAAAATGGTCATGTGCAATCAAATTTCACATGAAGACATGGAACAGACGTTAGGACCTTGATTAGCAAATGCAAAGGACCTAATTGAAATTTCATACTCAGTATCCCTGATACCAACAGAGGAGTCCCAAACCAGTATAGCACACTTTCATTGTGGGATGAGTACACATGTGGGGCCCCATGTGAACTTTGAGGTACCCATTGTACACCTGTAAAATAAACTTAGCCAGGTCTAATTTCTAAGCATTGAAATGGACATGAAGGTGGTAAGTTTCTTTAATATGGAAACATTTAAAGGAGGACTGAATAAATATTTGAGTAAAATAAATAATTTCATATTTAAATAGTATTATTCATATACTCAGGATATCTCAGAAGTGCTTCAAAGCTATAGCTGGTGATCCCAGACATATTTCCACAGATTTGAAGTTTTTAATGCATTGTGAAATGCCAGTTGAGATTGGCTTCTCGAACAGGAACTGTAAATTCAATGGCTGCAAGTTGATTGAAGATGAATGAAAGTAAATCTGTTAATGTTCACTTTTCTGTTGTTTTATGTACAGCTTTAGTGGGTTCAACATTTCTGCATTTCCACAGCGCACATTATGTACTAGAAATTACTGTCTGCAATGTTTTCCACACTATTATTTGATTGCATTATTAATGTGGAAGTGCAAACCTACCTAAAAATATTTAACTTAGATTTTTATAACATTCCGAAATAGATTATTTTGTAATGCATTCATTGTTTTGTGGACAAACAATTTGTCACAGCAAAGTTCCTGATACTGCTGCAGGTCATCAGTTAATCTCTGGCAAATGGATAAGTCGTGATAGATCACAGGGATTTATCCCTCTTCTCTTCAAATTGTGCCATAAGATATTTAATGTCTGCTTAAGGTATCACACTAGGCCTCAGTTTCAAATTTCATCCAAAAGCAGCTTTTAAACCCAATAAGTATGGAGTGAGGGCAGTCATCCTAGATTATATGCTCCTGTAGGGGTGAGAGGTTTGAAACCATCTGATTCAAAGGGATGAAAATGCTGAGTTAGCTGAAATTAAGAGAAATTTATGCATCTTTGTTTCTGTTGTCCTGCTTCTGCCTTTCCCATGTTCTTGATTCTGATATTCCTGTATAATGTATGATTTGGTGCATGCAGGCATTAAAATTTTCCCTCCATTGGGGCAAATGTGTTGTGTGGCCATGTGAGCTGTTCTAGGTTCTCTCGTGCAGATGAATTCCAGGGTGTGCACACTGCAGTCGCTATTTTCAGTGGCAAATGGTTTGCAAATGTACATGATCTTAAAGCTCATTGAGAATCATTGGAGGTGGACGATGAGAAAAGTCCCTCAATATAGATAGGAAACACTATCAGTGGGACTAATGTCTGAGTAACCTGGTAACATTTTCCTCTGCTTCCTCTAAACAGGACTGGTGTTGGAAACTTGATAGCTGACATTTTTGGTGAATCGGATGATGAAGGGGAAGAGTTTACAGTACGTATAGTTGATTTCTAAATACTGTGGTACACCTGATTTATTCTCGCAAGCAAAAGCTTGCTATTGAAATATTCAGCCCTATGAAAGAAGTTTCAGTTCTTTAGTAAAGTTATTATCTGAATGTGAAAGTTTAGAAGTTTGGTAGGCAAAGGGCCTTGGGAGGACTTTCTATACAAACTAATCCTGTCTTTCGTTTATTTCACCAAAGTTATTAGCTCCATAATTCTGTATGATGTTTTTGAACTGGATTATTGTCTGTAAACCAAATTAGCCAGCATTTACGTTAGGAAGATTAAACATCTTCCAGATGCTAGTGGTTAGGTTGTTGTATTCTTTTTTCCACCGCCAGCAGTCAGGAACTGCTGTACAATCTGCCATTGATTGAGGACTGCAGGGAACTTGAGCAATACTAGTAGCTGGATGCTTGTGCATTGTCAGTGATTAGACACTGCTGGTATAGTTTGTCAGGAATTTAGGGGCTACTGTGCAGTTGGGAGGCATTGGTGGTCATGCTTTCAACCAGTCATCATTTTGTATCAAATCCTTTTTCCTATTATCAGTTGCTATTATGTCAGGTTCCAACCACCCTCATATCTGTCTAAACATCAGTTTAATACAGTTAGGACAAATGGATCCTTATAACCCAGCAAGAAGCCATTGGCCTTTCAAATCTGTGAATCCCACAACCCTTTATACCTTAATAAACTCCTCAATTGTTTTGGCATCATTTATATTCTGAGCCAGTGAATCTATAATCTCATCCCTCTCTGGATTCATTTTTAACCGGTTTAGCTCAAATTCTTATTCTATATCCTTATTGTGGTTTCCCTCCTAAACTGCACCTAGTATTGATCTGCCTGTCTATAAGACTGTGGCCATAAAGTTTGTAGAGAGTAAGCACTCACAACAGAAAGGGACAGGAATGGCCTAATATCTCGTAACCTGTTTTAATGGAGTTGTTTGAGGAACAGATATCAGCTAGAGTATCAGGACAATCTGTGAGCTTCAAATCCTGTCAGAAAGACAGCACTTTTTTTTTTAATGATGTAGAACCATTTCAGTACTGCAGTAAAGTGTCAAATCTACATTTAAACACCAACTACCACTCCAGTAAGTGAGTCTTTGTTCCTTGCAGACTGGAGTGAAGACTGGAGTACTACCCCAACAGCAACTTGTATTGAAATACCATTTTTAAAACATCACGGACTTATTTATAGGAATGTTATAAAACAAAATGAGGCACAGAAGGAGTTAAGAGAGCAGGTCAAAGAGTTGAGTTTTTGAAAGGATGAAAAAACGTCTCAAAGGCCAATGAGAGAACCGGGAACTTAGGACCTTGGCTGTTGGATATATTACTCCCAGTGGTGAGGCAGCCAAGATTGTGCATGCTTGAAAGGCCAGAATTAGATGATATCTTGGAAGATTTGAGAACAAGGACAAGGAGTTTAAAATTGTGGTGTTGCTTAACCTAGAGCCAATATAGATCAGTGAGTGCAAGGCTGATGGGTGAACCTACAAGATCATAGAAGTTTGTGGCAAAAAAAAAAGTCCTCCTTCTATGGCAGCAAATTGTAGGCAGTAGATTTTCCATGTACCTGCTGGCCTCATCATTATTCCCATCCTGCAAGCCTCCAGCTTCAGCCAGTACACTTGGAATCATACCTGTGTGAAGGTTAGATTCAGAGGGAAGGGCAGAGTATTTGGCTTGCCTTTGGGAAGCTCCAAGTAACTGGCTCAGAGTAATGCTGATAGACCTGGCAACTGGTTTATTCCTGCTGTATTTGCCAAGATCACAGCATTTTATGTTTTACAACGGGTTAAAAGTAAATCCAGAGTCATGATTATAGATTCACTGGCTCAGAATACAAGTGATGCCAAAATAATTGAGGTGTTTTTGAGGGTATAAAGGTCCTGTATTATTGGGTTAATCCAAGTAATATTACACGCTGTCCAGTATTCATTCATGATTGGATCCTCACATGACTGAGTGCCATGTTTGTGACTGACTGTGCTTTCGAAACAGTGGCAAATATGCTTGTGCACAATATCCGGTCATCATTTGAACTTATATAATGCCTTTCACAACCTCAGTCCCAAAGAGCTTTGAAGCCAATGAAGTAGTTTTGAAGTTGAGGCACTGATCTGGTGTAGGAAATACAGCAGCTGATTTGTGTGATGTAAGAACGTGCAAGCCATATGATGTGTCTGAGTAAAGCTGCAGGTGGAAGAAATTTGAATAGTCTCCATTTACTGAGAGTAAAACATGGAAACCCAGCCAGCAGTGGGTTGAAATAATCCAGTCTAAGGATTAAAAAGGCTCTGAAGAGGCTGGTTAAATCTTGCGGAACAATGTGGGTACTGAAGCTTTTGGTGGAAAAGAAACCATTGCTTGTGATTCATTGGCTACAATTAAATAGGTAAAAATGGAACCATGCAATCCGGTCTGGACAGCAATTGGAAGAAGATCAGCACAGACAGTCAAAAAGCATTGAGTGCAATGGTTTACCTTTGCCACAGTCAGACAAGAAATTCAAGGAAAGATTTGCATGAATTTGAGAGTTTGCAACTTGTTCGGTATTTTGGAGCAAAAAGGAAGATGCTGATGGCGTTGCAAGGATAAAAAGGTTAAACTTTGACTTTTTGAGGAGAGAAGTACTGATTGCAGATTAGAAGGCATGTACATAAGTTATTAAGCATGGCAGAACAGGTAGAGAGCAGCTAATAAAGCATACAGTATTCTAGGTTTCATTAAAAAGAGTATAGAGTACAAGAACAGGAAGGTTCTGAGGAAATTACAGAGGACGCTGGTTAGACTTCAGTTGGAGTATTGGGTATAGTTAAGGGTATCACACTCTGTGAAGAGTGGGAATGCAGTGGAAAAAGTGCAGAGGAGGTTTGTTGGAATGGTTTCAAGGAGGAGACACTTCACTATGAGGATAGATTGGAAAAGTTGAGATCTTTTTCCTTGGAGATGAAAAGGCTCCAAGGAGTCATAAGAGTTCAGGACAGAGTATTTAGGGAAAACTGTTCCTGCTCACGAACAGATCGAGAACCAGGTGGCATAGTTATATAGTGCTTTGCAAAAGAAGCAAATATGAGAAAGGACTTTTACATTCAGCGAATGGTTAAATCTGCATTGCATTGCACTGCCTGGAGGTGTGGTGGAGGCAGATTCAATTTAGACATTCCAGAGGGTATTGGATGATTATTTAAAAATCAAAACATGATTTTGTGGAGCAATACATTGCAGAACCTACCTGGACCAGGCTATTTTGGATCTATTAATGTGCAATAGGGTAGGATTAATAAATGATCTTGAAATCAAGGATCCTTGTGGGGGTAGTGATCACAACATGGTAGGATTTGAATTTCAGTTTGAGGTTGAGTCACTTGGGTCTCAAACTATTGCCCTGAACTTAAATGGGGAGATTACAGAAGAATGAAGGAATAGTTGTCTAAAGCAGGTTGGGAAGATAGACGAAAAGTAAAGTCAGTAGATGAACAGTAGCAGACGTTTAAGCAAATGTTTCATAACGCTCAGGAAAAGATTATTCTGGTCAAAAAGGAGTTAATGAGAAGGATGAGCCATCCGTGCTTAACGGCAGTTGTGAAGAGTATCCAGTCAAAAACTAACTCATACAAAGTGGTGAAAACTAATGGTTGGCCAGAAGATTGTGATTTTTTTTTATAAACTAGCAGTAGATTACTAAACAGCTTATAAAGAGGAAGAAAATTGATAATGAAAGTAAATTAGTAAGCAATATAGAAACATTATAAGCTGCTTTGCGTATATAAAAAGTGAATAGCTGAAGTCTGTGTCAGATTCTTGGAGGGTGCTACTGGAGGAATTAATGGTGGGAACAGGGAAATGGTAGTCAATTAAGCTAACATTTTGCATTGGTCATTAAGGTGGAGGGCACTACAAACATTCCAAAAAACAGAAAAGGAAGGTGCTAATTGGAGGACAGATCTTAAACAATCTCTACCATCTGGGACAAAGCATTTGACACACTAATGGGACTTAAGGTCTATATTCAAGAATTTTAAAGGATGTAGTTGCAAAGATAGTGGAAGCATTATTGATCTAAATATTCTGGAACTCTCTGGATTCCAAAAGATTTTTATGAAGATTGGAAACCTGCTAATGTGACTCCTCTGTTCAAGAAGGGAGGGAGACAGAAAGCCGGAAATTATAGACCGGTTAGCCTGACATCTGCGACTGAGAAACTGCTAGAGGCCATTATTAAGGAAGGAATAGCAGGACAGCTTTTATTTTGGAAAAGTTTGACACCAGCAAACAGTGTCAATATGCTTTTTGAAAGGGAAATCATTTTGACAACTTTGCCAGCATTCTTTGAAGGTATAAAATGCGGAATTAATCATGGAGAACTGATTGATAAGATGTCATATAAATGGTTATTTCACAAATACATTGTAACTAAACCTTTGAACTGGATTTGACAGGTTGTCTTGTGACCTGTGTTGTAGATGATGGAAAAGTACACATTATCAAACTATTTACTAGCTCCATTTGCAAGTTTAACATCAGCACCGTGGGCTCAATGAAATCTTGTATTGTAAATTGTATGGCCTGGGAATGTTTAATGAAATAGTATGGAGGTAACTTTATTGAATGTAACCCATGGTTTACCTGACTTGGAAATGCCTGCTGAGTGGTGCAGAGGGAGCTTTTACTTGTCTGTAAAACATTGACCAGGAGTTTTGATGTCGACATTATGTATCTGAAATTATCCGTTCTCTGGGTAAATTGTCTGTCAGCAATTAGATCGAAATAATCCGAAAACTGAACCCTTCAAACTACTCTGCCACACTTTGTGCTGAAGTGTTTTGCGGATCATACTTCATTCCTTTTTTTTTGTTTCCAGTGGTTTTCATTATACCTGCTGCCAAATATGTTATTCAGTATCAAACCAATGAGACTTGCAGTTCTGAGAAAATCAGATGTTGGTTTGGTGACTGTGCATGTTGCAGTGTACGACAACAGATGTTTCTCTAATGGATTTTTAAGAGCCAGGTTGTGAATTCTATCTTTATCCTTGGCAGCTTTCAACCTGTTGCTGGAGGACTGCAAAGTGCCAACTTCACTGCTCTAAAAACATCATAACACCTCGCAGTAACTCTCTTGGGTGTACAAGGCCTTTAGTGTAAAGTGCATTTATTAGAAAGGTACTTTGATTAAAGCATGCTCTTTCCAGCTATTGTCTTTCAGGCTGTGTTGTCAAAGTATGGTCTGTATCCCTAAATGATATCCTTCTTCCTCAGGGCTTTAACCAAGAGGACCTTGATGGTGAAAAGGCTGCTGTCGAGACTGAGAGACAGAAAATGGTTGCTGAAGAGTCAGACTCTGACAATGAAGTTCGAGGGAAGGGACGAGAGTAAGTAAAAGCTTGGCCTCAAAGTTAAATTAGTACAGCACGAATAGGATCTGTTTCTCGTGCTGTGGATGCTGGGCTGTAATTCTGGAATCTTACATGAAGGCGCGTTAGTGTTCTAGTATTTCAAAGTTAGCATTTTTTTTTTTTGCTTTTTCTTTTTTAATCTTTCTGCTGGTAAAGGTACCCCAAACATGAAACTTGGCCTCAGAAATCCCAGGGGGAGCGCAGAACGCAGCCCTTCAGAAAGTTATGAATTGGCAGTTAATACATTAGACAAGTCCAGTTTGTAACTTGCACTGTTGCACATTCAGCAATGACCGTGCCTTGCCGGTGAAAGAATCACAGCTTTGATAGCTTCATCACTTTGTCCTGGAAATATGATACAAAGCAGCAGTATTACAATCTACTGTCCTGAGAAGGTCCACAGGGTCAGGGAGGGTGTAGGCCCCTTTGTACATTACTGGACCAAAGTCATGCATGCCATCAAAATAAAAATTCACTAATGTGGAAATTCCACCTTGACTTCCCAATATTGACTGGAAGAAAATCCCGAGTGTATTCATGCATTTCTATCTATTGCAGCTCTGATTTTGTGTCTGATTTTGAGATGATGCTGCAGAAGAAGAAAGATCAGAATCGGAAACGACGACGAAATCGGGATGGCGGCACTTTCATTAGTGATGCGGACGACGTAGTTAGTGCCATGATCACTAAAATGAATGAAGCTGCAGAGGTGAGTAACAACAGTGCTTCAGAATTTACTGAGAGTGGGACCTCAGAGACTTATGCCAGTCAAAGGGATTTTGGGAAAACATATTCAATCTGAGACTGCAGTATTGAGGCAAAACATTGGAGGCAAGTCCAAAATTGTTGAGTACTAACTGGGATCTGACAAAAACTCTATTCTGAAGATTTTGGCTGACTAAAGGGAGGCAAAGGAATTAGGACTGGGAATAGTTAAATCAACATGCAGTGAAACCTGTAAATTAGGGACACCCAAGATACTTCAAATTACAGAATCTTCCAGCACAAACAAGGGTCCTTCACTGTATATTTCTGTACATGTTTTTTGATATGATTTGCAATTTAGTCCTACATTCTACCTTTTCCCTACAAGTCTGCAAATTGGTCTCCTTCAAGGACAATTATCTTTGACAATTTATATTGAATCTTCTTCCACCACCCTTTTAAGTAGTGCATTCTACATCTTAACTGTCTACTTGAGCTTATTTTTCCTCCCTTCCTGTCTAGTTCTTTTACAGATTATTTTAAATCTAAGATGTCTAAGGACGGCACAGTAGCTCAGTGGTTAGCACTGCTGCCTCACAGCGTCAGGGACCCGGGTTCGATTCCACTCTCGGGCGACTGTCTGTTTGCACATTTTGCCCGTGTCTGCGTGGTGCTCTGGATTCGTCCCACAGTCCAAAGGTGTGCAGGCTGGGTGGATTAGCCTTGGGAAATGAAGGGTTACAGGGATAGCGTAGGCAGTTGGGTCTGGGTGAGATGCTGTTCAGAGGGTCGGTGTAGACTCAATGGGCCAAATGGCTTCCACACTATAGGAATTCTATGATTCTATCTCTGGTTACCGACTTAATTTCAAGAGGAAGCAGCTACTTCCAATTTTACTATCTCAGAATTTCTCATAGTTTTGAACGCCTTTATTAGACCTCCCCTTAACTAACTTTGCTTCTCAATTTTCTGCACATCATTGAAGTTTCTCATTCCTGGTATTATTTGAGTAAATCTCCTCTGTACCTTCTCCAAGACTTTGACATCTTTCCTTAAGTATGTTACCCAGAATTAAGCACAATACTGTAGATGAGGCTGAACCAGTAACTCTCAAGGTTTTCCATGACTTCTTCTAATTGTAATCAATACCCCAATTTATAAAACCAAATAGTCCCAATGCTTTTTTAATCATCTTTTCAATTTGCCCTGTCATCTGCAAAGATTCCACACGTCTCACAAACAGGTATATAAGCTAGACTGTATCTTCATATTGTTCCTCTTGACAGGTATCATTTCATGCTTTCTGCATTAAATTGTGTCTGGTAGATGGCAGCCTACTTCACCAAGTTTCTTGATATTTTTCTGAAGTCTGGGTATTATCCTACTCACTTTTTATTATATTGGCAAGTTTGTGTCGTTTACAACTTCAAATTCAATTAAGGTTACTTATTAATGAAATAAATAAAGCAGCCGTGTGGACTTACTGCTTACTACTTTTCAGTCATGTTTGCATCATCTGTTCTTTTTCCATTGGTCTTTAAAAATTGGTCATGATATGTGTACTAAAATGGAAGAACCAATATTTGGCTCAATCTTCTACATGTGTTTTTGCCATCAACTTGAGGTGTGCTGAAACCTGGAGACCGACTAGCATGTTTGGAATTTATTATGTTTTCTGTTTATTGGAATTCTCAGTTCGTTACTGTTTAGGGATTCTTTTCCACAAAGCGATCTTAATATCTGGCACATTTGACACACTGTAATAGTGGTTTTAGCCTGCAGTGCCTAAAATTTTCCAGCCGAATTGGAAGGTGATTTTCTGACAGATCCATGTGTGAAATCTGTATCTTTTTTTGTGGCTTACAGTCAACCTGTTGTGATTACACACCTCTGGAGCAGGTGGGACTCACCCAATACTCCTGGTCCAGTGGTAGGTACAATACCACTGCAATACAAGGGGCCCTTAAACCTGTAATTGAGCCAGTGACCTTCAGATCTTAAGTCTTAACACTCTACCAACTGAGCTATTTCAGACAAACACAAAATACGTTTTAAAAATCAGGACCCAATCAGCTCACCATTCTCCCACTCTGGGTGTTTGGCGAGATTCAAACCCAGAACCTTACCTCAGTCCCTGGATTGAAAGTCTCATGATAATGCCACTAGGCCATCTCTTCTTGGGAATTCGTGATAATAATGACAAACTAATTTCTACCATGTGCTCAAACCAATTAGAGAGAAACAAACTGGGCAATTTGATCCATGATTCAGAACATGGTTTAAATGGAAGTGGTTCAGATGCTTGGTTCATTGTTACCATTTCCAGGGATGTGGGAAACTTTCATAGAAAAGGTGTTCAAAATTTAAGGAAGGAAGCACAATTAACATGATAGGTTAAATAAAGCTTGGGTAAGATTTCAGCTGGAAAAGTGACGGGATGCAAGGATAATAAAACACATACAGAAGGGGAGAAGGTCAGAAAAGCAAGAGAGTACACAGGAAGAAATAGAAGGAGGAAAAGATCGGAGTATACAAAGGAGTAACAGGGTGGGAAGAATGTGAGAATACATTAGGAAGGAGCAGAATGGGGAGAAGAACAAATACAAAAGAATTAGGTTGGAGGGAACAACTGAATCAAGCAATGGCAAGATGAGAGAGGCAAAAATGGAGCATGAGGGTAAGGAAGTGCAAAATATAACAGTCAAGGCATTGTTTAGCTGTAGTGCAAGAACAGGGGACAGTGCGGCACTAGGAGATTTAGCATTGGAGATGTTATGCCTGAAGGAAGTGAAGCAAAATGATGGGCTTCCACTGAATTTTTTGCAACAGTTTCTAACATTGATTAGATGATGGAGGAGGAGAGATATCTGGAGTGAGAAGACCAGTTACCCAGAAAATATGTTTTTATTTAACAAACTGATGGTAAACGGACAGCTGGTTTTGGTTTTGACAGCCTCGGTCTTCTGGCAGTCTTGTTGATGTCAGTAAAAATAAATCCACTCATTAATATTAAACACCTTTCGATACTCACCTTTCTGCAGGAAGACAGACAGCTCAATGGGCAGAAGAAGCCAGCCTTGAAGAAGCTTACTCTTCTCCCCACCGTTGTCATGCATTTGAAAAAGTAAGGCTTGATTTACCTCTGCTCCTGGTTTAGTTTTCAGTAGCATATAGAACTGATTTTCCATTCGTAATCCTATTAGTAGCACATCCACTGGTAACAGAATTGTGCCATGCGTAGGAATATGAGGTTGTCCAATCTTCAGCTCTGATAAGTAGACAATTCAGCTGTACAGTTCACTGATCTCGCACACTCTCAAAGATCACTTGGGTTGGGGATCACAGGGCCTCTGAAGCCGATGAAGATTAGCACGATCAAGAGCTAGCACTTTGTGCAGGAAATGATCTCACAAGATTACAACGTGAAACAGACCAGCGATTTTCATTAAAATAACAACTGTGGATGCTGAAGATCTGATTGGAACTAAATATTTTCAGTCATAGTGCTATATGCATTGCTGGTTATCTTGTATAGAGACAAGATCTCTAACACCTGCATTCCAATGTAAAATAATAATACATAGCCAAATAATTTTTGGTAATGGTGAAAGATTATAAAACCCAATATGCAGGTGTTTCTTTTTGCAAGGCCTTAGATGCCCCTCAGGTGCTGCATCGATCTATATTTTGTGTGCACAGTTTCTAACTTGAGTTTTTGATGCACAACACTGTGTATGTGGCTGATGCTGATGAAGTGGATTTATTGCCCATCTTTGGTTGCAATGCAGAGGGGAAGATAGGCTTTCTCCCAAGACTGCTCGTAATGGATGCTGCTGCAATGGGTAGGAATTCTAGACAGTGACTGTTTTCCTGTTACTTTAAATACTGCCAGTTATTAGGCCATGGGGAAAAAAAAAGGCAAAATTTGCACTTACAACAATATCCAAGATGGTGTGTGACAAAAAAACACATTGGAGATAACTGTTTTATATGTATTTAATGTAACACATGTGAAGGAAAACTATCAAACAATTACCTAGGTCACCAGAACACCTGAAATAGATTGTGTAAGCTTTGTATTGACAGTAGTTTGCTGTGATACATCTCTTGAGCAGAAACCTTTGAGAAATATTACAATTAAATGGCTTATTTCTGTTTCCACTTGGTAATGCACTTCTGCAGACAGGATTTAAAGGAAACATTTATTGACAGTGGGGTCATGTCTGCTATCAAGGAATGGCTCACTCCATTGCCTGACAAGAGTCTGCCACATCTGAAGATTCGTGAGGAGCTTCTGAAGATCCTGCAGGAGGTAAATGAGGGCATATAGCTGTGTACCAGAAGAGCACAACTTTGTCATTATCTGCTTGCCAGCTTCAAATCCCTGTTTTTATGTAACCTTTACAACCCCTGTCCACAACCCTCTTTTTAGTCTGGATTTCTTCCCAATTTATTTAGCAAGAATAACAATTGCCTTTTGGTGTCTTGGCATGAGAGCATTACTCATAGATAACATAGGATGACTTCTCCAGAATTGCTTCAAGCACAAGCTTTGCTGTTTACTTTGGTCATGACTTGTTAGCATACTGGCAAGGTCAACATTTGTTGCCCATCCTTGGGCAATATTGTGGTGAGCCTTGAAGAACTGCAATCCATATGTTGGATAACAAGGCGTAGAGCTGGATGAACACAGCAGGCCAAGCAGCATCAGAGGAGCAGGAAGGCTGACGTTTCGGGCCTAGACCCTTCTTCAG